ACGTGCAGAGGAAATCAGCAGCTCGTCCCGGACCAGCGTGCTCCCAGGGGGTGCTGGGAAAACAGAACAGCGTGTCTTCTTTGTGCTGATTGCTTGGCTGTGTCCCTTTGTTTGTTTACTCAGTAATGAGCCAATCACACAGCTCACTGACACACACAGAGTAATTAGGTGGAAAATGAGGATAACGTGTGTGATGGGAAGCAGCTGGTACAGCCGGAAAAAACCTCTGGTTCCTCTCTGCTGCGCCGTCTGGACCACATGCAGAGGCTGACATTATCAGATCAATTTGCACACTTAGGCCCAGTCCTCCCTCTTGCCCCTCCCACTTCGCCCTACCCCTCCATTTTGCATGTTCACATGTAGCGGTAGGGGCATCCTGATTGCCTCTTTGATGGAGGGGTAGGGCGAAGTGGTAGGGCTACATGGGCCTTTGAACAGAGGCTAGCTACAACAAAAGTGACTGCAGTCGATGCTGCACACCTCAAACAAATCCACCGACATTCCCTGGTGTCAAAACATCCCAGTGGCTACATTTTTCTTATTTGCTGCTGAAAATCACAAACCTATTAGATGTGAGCTGACAGTTTGTTTTTACTGACTGATACTGATGAAGGAATGTTAGCACAGATGGCGAAGATGCTTCCTGCTTCTCCATTAGAATAATTGTATGCTTCTCTTTGTCTCCTGTGGCTGTAAACTGACACTAATGTCCAGTGATTTTCTGTCTGTGTCTGATTCCTCACCGACCCCACCCCGAGACCAACAGCACCAGTGAAGGTGGTGTCCTAACCATAATCTGAGTCCAGATCCTGGTCCAGCTCATTGCTCTGTGCCATAGACCTCCACTGTTGTCCACTAGCTATTAGGTCCCCCCACTGAGCCACACCGCTGCACTTGGGGGGCAGGGTTCCTCCTCAGGAAACACAGGAGTCTGTTTCCAGCAAACAGCTCCACAGGCTGACAACGGCGTCACTGGTCTCTGCTCTGGTCACGCTGCTCCACCAGCTCCTCTCGCTCAGAGAACATGGACAGACAGATTTCCTGCTGGTGTGTTTTGCCCCAATAACCAGGGTTTCTGTCTTTTTATTGTTTGAAGTGGATGTTGGTGCCATAGTTGAAGCAGTTCCCTCCTGGCATTGCTGACAGATCATGTTCAAAAGAGTGGGACGGACAAACTGAGCAGCAGTGGGCCTGAGATGAGAGACACCAAGGTGATGTGCTTTGAGGACTAATGAGCCAGTCCAGTGCTGACCCACCCATGATAGGGTCCTTCAGTTCCAGTGGTTCTGGAGTTTCAGGCAGCTGCTGATGGATTTCACAGGTTTGGGTTTTGTCGGCATGTGTAGAACAGGTCGACTCCCACTCAGGAAGCCTTGACTGAAACATTTAAATGGGCGTTATGGACACGTCCACCACAACCTCCAGCTGCAGCTCCTCATTATGTCGGCCTCCATCTGTAAACCACATCAGGTGATGAGGCTGTGAGGGCAGAAGGCGAGAGCACGGAGGGCTTCGGTGTCGTGCTCTGAGGCACTGTGGCACTGGAACTGAACCTGAGACTTTGCTGTCTGTGAACCAGCTGCAAACATCTGTCTGTCTCCTGTTGAGAAGGTAGCTGATTCCTCCCACCCCTGCTGTCTGCCAGATGCTGGTGCAGAGACGCCAGAGCTTCAGTTGAGCTTCTTCACATGAGAATAAATAAACAAATGATCCTGCTGCGGCTGTGTTGGACTTTAGACCTGCGTCTGTCACACTCTAGTGGCACTTGTAGAGAGAGATCAGTCTTTTATATTAGGCCTGTGGCTCCTGTTATGTTTTGTTTTGTTTTGAAGATGGAGAGCTGCATAACAGCTGCTAACAGCTTTCACCAGTGAGCAACACTTGGCTGAGCACAGATTAAACTCTCAGCTTGTTTATCATCTACAGATATAGCAGTGATGTGAGTGGACTGAAGTGTCCGCCTTCTAAATAAACATTTTCCTCACACACAGAAACCAGTGTGTCCACGGTGTTTTACGGGGCTCTGTCGTGGCATCAGTCTATCACTGTGCAGACGTCTCCATCACAAGTATGCCGGGCGGATCGACTGTAATCCATTGTCAGCCATATGGCATTCTGCTGCTAAACAACCTCAGACTAGTTTCCTTCTGACACCCTCCGATGCTGTAAAACCTGACTGGTGTTTGTACTGGGCCCACTGGGAGCTGTGGTCCTGAACCCATTCTGTCATCTGCACAGTACCTGCTGTTAGATGCTCTGAACTATTTGAAGCATTTGGATTTTTCTTGTTTTAACTTCTTGTCTGAGAGGTTTCAGCCACCTTTATGTTTTTTTAAGCTTTGTTGTTCATGTAAAGTGAGTCAGCATCAGCCCATGACATCGACACTGACACAAACGTGAAGCGGATCTGAACTGAGCATAGTTTGTGGAGGGAGATGAGGATATGAACTGAATATGGTATGATAAATGCTCATCATCAGTGCTCATGATACTTGTGTTTACACTCATTTCCCCTAAAGTATTTAAGGTCAAGTACAGATCAGTCTGATGTGTCACACATGGGAAGGTAACCTCTGTCTGGGTTAACATCCAAGTTACAAGTCTCTCTGGGAAAACAGACTGAATGCTTGAATTTAACCGGATGACTTAATGTAGCTTCATATACGTCACCTCAGGGAGAGAACTTGTAGTGTAGGGAGAGAGTTTACTGGAGTGGGAAGTTAAGATACCTGATAATACTCACCAGGTGTTCTTGATATGTATGTGACCAGTGAGACTCCACTGCTCCTTGAGCTTTCACTCTCCCCACTCTTCATTTTCACCACCTCCAAGACGAACCAAGCAGGAAGAACCATCAACCCTCTTTTATCTGTGAGGAGGCCATGCAGGACCATGGCTGCTCCACATGCTTGTAGATGACAGAGGCAGCCTCTCAGCTATGTTTTCACTGTGGACCCTATGGTTATACATTAAAAATGCACATATAATGATGGGACAGAGCACTTTCTTCATCACAACGGGCCTGTGGCAGCTCTGCTCCGGGCTGTTGCTATGGGTGATTGTGTTGTCTCTGTTGTCATGGTGACTGTACAGAGGATGTTGGTCCAGACTTAAAGCTAAAGGCATGACTCACCGGTAGCTCTAATTAATTCTCACCTTAACATCACCTTTAATTTTACCATTAGTTTAACTCCCGTTGGTTCCAGTCCAGCCTTAGCAGCCAAGGGAAACCACGGGGACTGAGCTCAGAGGGCTGACGCTGCCCAGCTGACACAGGTCTCTTTACACTGAGCCACTGAACAGCAGCTGGTTGCTGCATCAGGATTTGTCACCTGAGGAACATGGTTGGTTTAAGACAGAGTTGGACTGATCAGACACAAAACATCAGATGTGTAGACTGTGGGGGAAAGTAAGTGCATTGAGAGGTACCTGTACTTTACCTGAGTACTTCACATCCTGCTCCTTCATCCTGTGACTTCACTCCATGTCAGAGACAAACCGTGTACTCTTTACTACACTACATGTACCTGATACCTTCAGGTCCAGAATCGGATGAACCAAACCAAACCCAGTAGAACCATCAGACTCTATTGATCCCAGTAGGAAATCCACCAGCTACCCAGCAGGATGGAAAGTACTTCCCAGTATAAGTATATAAGGTAGTTACCATCAGCTCCACCTTTACCAGCTGCAGCATTAAAGTGATGGACACAGTAATTAGTCACTATGATCCAGTATCAGGGACGTTACTGGGACACGGGCCGTTCTGCTGGACCAGTACTGATACTTTTACTTCAGTCAAAGTTTGAGTGCAGGACTTTTAATTGTAATGAAGTATTTTTACACTGTGGTATTACTACTATACTTTTACTGCAGTCAAGAATCTGAGTACTTGAAGTTCTTCTACCGACTATGGGAGAGGGCCCTGTTGCTATTAGCAAGAGCGACACATTCATCTCTTGCACATGATCCGATTTATCAGCTTTGTCTAGTGCTTAAAAATGTGCAGATATTTCTAGACAGGTACAGTCGCAGCCCAAACTGGCATGACCAGAAAGTTTCCCACACATCTGCTGTGACGCTGCGACAGGATCTTTGTGATGACGTTTGACCTTGTTTGAAACCTTGTCACAACAGCTCACCATGTTAAGGATGACCGTATTTAGCATCTTGGAGGTGATAAGTGAGGCTCCTGGCGTCTGAGCTGCAGACCTGGTTCTGACGTCCCATCAAAGGTCTTCATGGGTCCACTTGGTTCACTGTGATGAAGTCCCAGCCCAGGACCTAAGTCAGGGTGTGCTGTGTGTCCCCCACCTGTACAGATCAGGTCTTCAAGCTCCCCTGTGGAGTTTTCACTAATACTGTGTAACACAGCCCCAGAGAAATAAAGCTGACTGTGCCTAGTGGTGTTTACACTGTAGGTACAGTGACAATGAGGAACATGTTCACTGCCTTCTGCCTTCTTCTTCTCTGCCTTTGTTGGCACATTGCTGCTCTCATCTTGGAGACAAAAACAACTTCAGGGTGAAATGTGAATCTCAGAAAGCCTCTGTCCCCCTGTTGAAAGTCATTTTTGCATATTGGAGATAATGTTGTTCTTAGGATTTGCTGAAATGACTGATGCTGCCATGTTCCTCAGGAAGGGAGTTGTCATGTACTGACTGACAACCTGTGCAGCTGAGTCCTGTCACAGAGTCCGAATCCCACTTGCAAAACTCTGAGCTTTGAACTTCCAGTAAAAATCCAAGCAGCGGACTTCGTGTTATTTTCTACCCAAACTAAATGTAGCCACATATAAGAGTGAGCTGCAGCTCGATGGCCATATAGAGGGTGGGAGCGGGCGAGGTGTGTGACCTGATGATGAAATGTCTCAGACACACAGTGGAAAAGAGTGAGGAGAAGCACAGGAAGTGATGTCATCGAAGCAGAGGCTTCTGACTGGTCAGGAGAATCCTGAGCAGCTGCTATAAAACCTGACGTGAAGCCAAGACAGAAACAGAGAGAAGAGACGAGCAGCAGAGACTCGGCCACACACTGAAGGTACACACTGTTTGGACACACATGTCACTGTGTGTGTGTGTGTGTGTGTGTGTGTGTGTGTGTGTGTGTGTGTGTGTGTGTGTGAGAGAGAGAGAGAGAGAGATGGACACAGGTGTGCACAGGTGCACACTCCTGCAGGGTATACGCTACAAAACGTCACTCTCCAGCAGCAGATAGTGTAACTTTCTATCTGTAGGTGTTCTGACTGTGCTGCGTGTCAGATCCTCTGCCGCTCTGATTTAATACAAACGTTAACTTTTTGCAGGATAAACTCACTTGTTTGTTTTTACTTTTTTTAAATTCCATTGTCATTGTTTACTGAGTGTGTGTGTCTTATGCTGCTGTCTGCTCCTTTCTTGTGCATTTGATTTGGTTTCCTGTACATTTTATGTCAGAACTGATTAATAACAGTGAACTCCAGAACCTCTGTCTGTCTTTTGGCTGCAGATGTTTGGGCTGTTCTCATTTTAGATTAGTATTTTTATCTCCATGGTTTTTGACAGCGCTCAGGTTGTTGTGACATTTAGCTTGTTTTTGGTCCGAAGTATTTTATCTGAAACATCTTTTACATGCTTTTATAGCCCCTTTGTGATTTGCAGCAGATTCTGTGTGACCTGTCTATAACTCATCGTTACTGCTGCCTCTGTCACGTGTGAAAGCAAGTGTTTGTTTCTGTGTGTGTGTGTGCGTGTGTGTGTGTGTGTCTATGCTGGGGGAATGCAGGACGTGCATGTCAGCAAACGTGCAAGTGACAGTCAAAAGGTATTTGTTTGCAGGAATGGAAAATACTAAAATTAGCTGATGTCGCTGGACAATGCACAGTCAAGTTAAAGTGGTGCTGCTGTGTGTGTATGTGTGTGTCTACTCATCTGGACAAAGCATGAATCCATCACTGTGAGGACATGTGGTCTGGTCCTCACACCTTCACAGGGCTGTCTGAGGCTCAGGTTTACGTCGGGCTCTGTTCCATGGGCTGCGTTATGTCAGTGCATGTCCTCACAGCCATAAATGTGTGTAAGAAGTCCTAAACTTTATTTTGAAACTTTAAGAAAAATGTGGGCAGCACCTCCACACTTACTCTCAGCAGATTGTGTCTGTTGTGTTGCCAGTGGAGGGCTGATTAGAGACATTTAGAATTATTAAATCATTTCACCCACAATAAAATTGAGGGCAGAGACAAAATTTTCAGCACAAATATTCTCTCTTCATTTTAGCATCACTCAAAATTCTATAAAATACAACAAATGTATTCCATAACAAATACAACCTATAGCTGCATTGTACACAGACTTTTAGATAAACTGTCTGTTTTCTTACTCTTCTGTTCATGTGAACTGCACCACGCTGACTCACGTTAACCAGAATCAGGATTAATAAACCTATGAGATGTGTCAGGACCAGTCTCACTGCTCTCGTCAGAGCACGTCTAAAGTTGGAAGGAGAAAGTGTAACGTCAGAGGTTAGTGTGAGCATCAGCACAGGTTGAACCAGTGATGCATTCATGTGCTGCTGTTGCAGATGCAGTTCTGTGGCTCTTTGCTGCTCTCCTGCCTGTTCTCCATCGTTGCGCTCCACTGCAGCGTCGATGGCTTCAGAGTCCAGCACCAAACTCAGGTCAGAACACACACCTTTATCACAGTGTTATATAGACAGTTGGGAGTTTTCCCCAGTGTCTGACATTCTGAGAATAAAATGATCAGTCAGATCATCAGGACAATGATCCGCTGACTGATCGCTGACCCTGCTGATTGGGTTTCCACTCAGTCAGTCAGGCGTCTCCTTTCAGTTGTCAACATCTATCTGTAGGTCTCAGTGTTAAGTCGGCGTGGGGGTCATGTGGCCACGTTTTAGGCTTCAAATAAATCTGCCTTCATTTGGTGAAACACAGTTTAGCTTTTGAAACAGCTGCTTCATAACAGAATGAAAATGTTCTTAAATCAATATTGTGACATGAATGATTGATCAACCCTGAGACATGTTCACCAGTAGTCTTGTGCTTGTGGGCTCGTGAGACTTGGATCAGATGGAGCAGAAACAGACCAGACTATCAAATCAACCTTAGGGCCAAACCAAATGGCCCCACCCTCTCAGGGGCCCCCCGCTGCTATCAGACGAAGAGTGAACGACACTGTGAGGTCCCGCAGGCTGCAGGACGGAAACCTGAAGGTTTTTTCTGTTTAGTCTGGATGAAACCTGATCATCAGACTCATCAGAGACCGCTGACAGATGGGATGTGAGAAATCGCTCGCTGTCAGGGTTGTGATGCAAGAGATGACTCACAACATGGAGTCCTGACGTATGAAAACACAGGACACAGAGCAGGGACGCCTTTCCCGCTCAGGTCACTGTTTTCTATACAGAGACGCCCTTCAAGAAAATAAAACCAGGAGGGTTTCAGAGCTTAGTCATGTGTGTGGTGTCACTGACTTTCTCCACATAGATCCCAGACTTAATTTGTGTTTAGTCATATCCCATCAAGTTCACATGGCTCATGAAAACCAGTCTTTGTAATTTAAATATGGAGGTAAACTTTTGTCCATGATGGCTTCAACATGCCCTCAAAGCGCACTGACAACCAGTCAGGTTTACATGACAAGATGTCATCTTACGGCACGATGCGAAGCTCCAGAGCTGCTACTAGATGGATCTTTTGTGTTTTTGTTTATTACATTATGTTTTTGTATCCCACCCCTCCCTCCTATTCCTTATAGTCATAGCTTTATCGCATTATCCATTAGTTTCAGCATGTAGATTTATCCCACCCTGATTCGGTTTCAGTACATCATCTCATCCCTGTCCTTGTGTTCCAGCATATAGACTGGCCCATGTCAAGGTCTCCAGCGGTTCTCCAGCCCCATCCTGGAGGGGTGAAGGAGGGGGAGGAGCTAACAGCGAAACTGCGCCGGTTGGACAACCTGGTGAGGATGGAGAATGTCGTCATGGAGCCAAAGAGGAAGAGGAGTTTCTTTAGCAGCAACGCACCGCTGGACCGCCTGTCCATCAGCTCCATGGAAACCAAACAGGCCACAAACAAGCAGAGGTACAGTAGGAGCAGAACACCTGAGATACACTGACCTGTCAGACATACAGCAATATGACTGGACGGACATAGTTTTACAACTGCAATGATTAGATTACTAAATAACTAGCTGACCAATGAGACTTACCGAGCCCTTTATTAGGGAGAGGGGACCTGGCTATGGCCAGAGCTGATGGCAGCCTTTTCTAGAAGTTGGTTTAGGGTTAACCCTAAGGTGTCCTGATCCAGTCTAGTCCTAACCCTAACCCGCTGAGGTCAGCAACATCCTGCTGCCATCTTTGTCCAGATGTAGGTTCTCCTGCTCTTTAGTGAAGTCGACCAAGACTGCACATCATCCTCAGCCAGAAGGGTTTTTTGGAAGTTGGTTCAGGGGTTGGCGTACAGCTGCTCCAGAAAGAATAAAGTTTGTTACTTACATTTATGTAACAAGGTGGCAAATTCATTTTCTGAAGAACAACATGGGGTATGATCAAAACACAACTACTAAAATGACCTTTTGGTGCGATTGTTTTTGTTTGTTGTGCTATGTTTTTGTAAACATATATATGGATGTATCCCACCCTCCTTTAGTTTCAGTGCAGACATATCTCAACCTCTTTAATTTCAGGACATAGCCTGGTCCAACCCAGCTCTAGTTTCAGCCCCATTGTAGATTTTCTTGCTCTTTAGTGCAGCTGCACTCAACTCCGACATCTGTGACAATGGGCTTCGACTAGATGCTGCTTTTGTGGGTTGGAAAGAACTGGTTTAATCTTTAACAATGTATTTTATTACATGATCTGAAGTTTTTATGCAAAATTTTACAACATCATAGTGATAATCTTTTAATCTAAAAAGAAACTCGTACCTAAAGCTACCTGATGAGTAGCCATCTAAAGTAGCATAAAATAAGAAGACTCAAATAAAGTGTATCCTAAAGCTGTACATGGGTACCTGACACTTGGACTCTGAAGGCCCACAGTTTCGTTGTGTCTATTCTATTCTACATCCCCTGTGTTCAGGTGTTGCTATCTTTGGGGTGGGACCAGTGTTTGTCACATTTTTGTTAATTTTTTCGTGTTTACAGCAAGGTAGTGGAGTTGCCACCACGACGGGCCGACCCTCCTCCCATTGACAGGATTGGCATGAGCCGTCTACCAAACAGTCGTGGGTAGAAACCCCCCCCAACAGCCCACCTCCTTTCTACAGCACCCCCCTCTGGACAGGTACAGTACTGTTGATAATGCTGACAGCAATGAGCTTTAAAAAAACAATGAAACATCCCTTTTTCTCTGCAGAGGAATCACCACATATGCATGACAACAGCCAGTCACCTGCTGAGCCACGCCCACCACCCGCCAATCATTCACCGTGACTTCACCTGGACACCAACCACCCCCAGCAATGAATGTTTAATGATGGTGCATTCAGGTGTTGCTCTATAAATTCACCACATGTGAAGAAAAATCAGGACCAAAGCAAAAACAAACCAACTGTTTTTTCCCCCAATTTCAGTAACGATCAGTGTGGTTTGATCGAATGAATACTGATCAGATTTCATGTTTGTCTTAAGATCTTAACAAGCAACCTCAGACAAATTCTGCTCACATCTGAACCACATTCAGACTCTGTTTGATGCTTTTTTAAGTTGAATTTGATCAAACTGAATTCCATACTTTGAGTTATCTGATCTCAAAACTTAAAAAAAAAAAAACGAGATTATCAAACCTTCATGCTGTGAAGATCTGGTCAGAGTCAGAACCCTGTTGACTTGGTTTCTGATCATGTAGTTCCTGATTTAAATCCTGATTATGTATTATTTAGACACAGTTCATCTACAGCTGCATCTTTTCTTCAGACAAAGTGAAACACTAGTGCATTTGAGATGCTTTTGTGAGCTCAGACACTGGGTGAAATCAATCAGAGCAAATATTTCGCACCAAGTTTGTTTTTGACATAAATTGATGCGACTAACTAAAGGAAGTGATTAGAACATCTGAATGATGGGTGCTAGCATGTTAGCAGTTAGCTCATCAGCTAAAGTAATTCACCAACAAGCCCTACATACTGTAGCTACTGGTTACTTTAATAAATCAAAAACATGCGCAGTGGTTAGTGCTGTCACAGCAAGAAAGTTCCGGGTTCGAGCCGTGGCCGACCCGGGGTCTTTCTGTGTGGAGTCTGCATGTTCTCCCTGTGCTTGCATGCGTTCTCTCCAGGTGCTCCAGCTTCCTCCCACAGTCCAAACACATGCAGCTTAGACTGGTGACTCTAAACTGCCCGTAGGAGTGTGGGTGGTTATTTGTCTACCTGTCGGCCCTGTGACAGACTGGTGACCTGTCCAGGGTGGACCCTGCCTTTCGCCCTAGGATACTCAGGTGGTTTTATTTAAATAAAGAGGTCAAATAATCCACTATGGCATTAAAACAGCAAAGATTAGAGGAACAACTCAGTTGGTAAACTGGCATATGTCAAGTAGCTCCACCAGTAAAGTGTTTTTCTTGCTAATACTTGTACTACATGTTGTTAGGAATAGTAGTGTAGCCTTTACTTGAGTAAGACTTTGAATAGAGTATTTTTACACTGTGCTATATGAAGTGTGTTCCTGTGAGTAGCCACTACAGCGGACACTTGTAAATCCATGTTGTGTCTCAGAAAGTTTAAATGGAAGTTCAGTAAATTAGCAACATACTTCTAGTAACCCAGAACTACTTTTGATTTTCATTAGAACTAAAAAAAACAACAAAATTCTATTTCAGGATATTGCAAATTAAACAAATATGGTTTCTTGTTTGGTCAAATTCAGCCTTGAAAGTTTTTTCTCACTTTCACAGCTAAACATTCTTACAGTGTTGTGGGCATCACCTGAGTGCATCAGTTACAAAGTGAAGTCAAGACCTAACTATTATTATTATTATTAATATAGAGGAAAAACCCCTTTGAGCAGCACTTAGTGATAGCAGGAAGGAGCGTCTTCCTCACAGTGTTGCCAGGGAGAATGTCAGGAGTGAGAGGGATGAATACCTGTGGCCAAACAGCTGGAGCCACATGATGCTGTGTGACTCAGTTCTTTGATGTAGCACTGTCATTTTGTATTCTGTGATTTTATGTTGCTATAATGTACACAGTTGTTGGATATTTTTTCTCCACAGTGTGTATTTTTGTTGAAACATTACTGTATTTTTACTGTTAGCTTATACAGCGCTGTGCCTGTGTTCCATTTCCCATTCTGTTTTATAGTAATACTGTGCTGAGCTTACATATTAAAGGAAACTAAAACTGTTTCCATACATTATTACAAATGTAAGTGCTCAATTTCCTATTGAAAAAAACAGATAAACATTCTGAGGACCTTGACTAACACTATAATAATGGAACATTTCATTATGATAGAGTTAACTTTGAAACGTGAGCTACAAGTTTTGGGTGAGGTAAATCCTTTTGCTGATGGACCACATTGTTTGACAAATGCATATTAAGCTTTGAGAATGACTGTGATGTTAATGTGATAATGTGAACTGAGTGAGGTTATTTTAATATACAGTATTAATAGTAGGCCGTTCTGATCCACACTCCAGTCTAGAAGGTGGCGGTAATGCACCTAAAGCTGTTTGCCAACCGCCATTAAACATGAGAAGAAGAATTTGTTCTTTTTGACATGGTTGCTAATTGGATGCAGTCTTTTACCCTAGAGCTGACAGTAGCGTTTCTGCAGTTAATCCAGTTTACCACCAGGTTGTTTGGATATTTTGGCATTTCTAATGAATTATTTCGGACATTTTAATTCGCTACGTTAATTGACTCTGCCAGCATAAAAACCGATACAGGCGGGTAGCGTTAGCTAATTCCGGTAGCTCGGTTAGTTAGCTTGTTAGCCAGGTCCTGAGCTAACGAAATGGATTTGTTCGACGATCTACCAGAACCGGCACAGACCTCTGGTGAGTTGGAATTAATTAACGGTTGTTTGTGTTTAAACTGTTAATTAATGCTTCAGCGCCGACAGTCAGTACCCGGTTACCTTTCCCCTGTAACGTTAGCTAATGTTTTGGGAAGATAAAAGTTTGATTTTCTCTGAATGGGCTAACGTTAGCTTTGATGCTGCCGAAGAAATTGGATTAGCGTAAATTTAATCTATAAGGATGAGAAACATTTATATAGATACATGTAACGGCCGCGGTTATTCTCATTACGGGCAGATTTTTTGATATTGCCTGTTGCTGAATAGTCACTAATATGGCAGCGGAACTAAAGTACGTTTAAGTTACTGTAATAATAAATGTAAGATAAGTATTAAGGTAGACGGAATAACACATTCTGATGTAAAGCTTTATTATAATACAGTTGTATGACAAATACATGGTTATAGGATCCTTGTGAAAGTAAAAGACAAACACGGCTACAAATAAAACAGTATAATGCATCCTTCCATCCATTCATCCGCTTATCCGAGATCGGGTCCCGGTGGCAACAGGTGACCGCACGGTAGTCTTGACGCCCTTCACTGGAACGGAACCATTGAGTTTCTGCCTGAATGATGAAGGTTTTTGGTTTTGTTCTTCTTCAGGTTCGGTTTCAGCAGTGGTCAAAGCTCAACCACAGTCCGCCGAAGAAGAAAAAGAGGAGGAGAGGAGTGCAAAACGAAAGCGAGAAGATGCCAAGTGTCATGCTGATATAAAAGAGGAGGAGGAGGAGGAGAAAGAGGAGGAGCGGGGGGAGATCAAGAAAGTTTGTAAAGAAGGTTTTCAGCTGTTCCACCACAATGTTTGTTTGCTTCTTTTCCTCTGATCAAAGCTCTTAGACTTGGGTTGATGGAAATATGATGTGTAAAGAATGGCAGCGAGACTTGCACTCTGTGTGTGTGTGTCCTTGTTCAGGGCTCCCTGTGTTGAAAGGCTATGTGGCAGCAAGGCGTGGCGAGCGGGAGGAGATGCAGGATGCCCACGTGCTGCTGCCGGACATGAGCAACTGTCTGTCGGCTCTGCCAGCACAAGTGTAAGACCTCCAACGCCTGTCCGACACAAGCTGCAGGAGCCAGAGGAAGTAATCTCGGGAGCTAAGATAGGGAGTAAAAGTCACTGTTGCACATTTCTGTTTGTGTTTCCACTAGTGATGTGTCAGCAACACATTTCCACACTGCAGTTCTGGTGGGAAAACAACAGCAGTAAACGTATCATGGTAGTAAACCGACTTTCCTTTAGTACAGTAAAACCAGTTACCTTGGATTTTAGCAGACATGACAAACTGAGCAGTGAGTGATGCAGCTTTGTTCACAGCTTTGTTGAGCTGGTGTTAAATTTCTTGTGTTCTTGAAATACTTGGCAATAAAGTTTGTGCTTATGCTCTACAGAAACAGACTGCTTTAAAAATACTTAAGTGACCAGTTACAGTCAGCTGATTTCTTAACTGTCATTAACCCCAGGGTTGGTTTCAGTAATCAGGGCAGTGACTTGGAGAAGACGTTGTACATATCTGCTGATTTCTAATTGGCTTTTTACAAGTGAGCGTGTGCAGGGCAAAGGACTGCAGACAGGGGAAGTAGTGGAATGTCTAGATGAAAGGAGAGATCACCACATTCTCCCATGGTTACTGCAGTGCATGTAAACGTCCTGACTAATCCTTCAATAAACCACATTAGGAAAAGAAGAAGTCTGTCTGAGCTGCTGCATGTCTCTTCACTGTTTTCTAACATGGCAGGTGCCTCTGTCGTGTCTGCCTGTGACCAAACTGTCATGTCTCTGACGTGTCCCACAGGTCACGCGTTTCGTACTTTGCGGTGTTTGATGGACATGGCGGAGCTCGAGCTTCTCAATTCGCTGCTGAGCAGCTCCACCATAATCTGGCCAAGAAGTTTCCATGCGGTGAGTTCAGAGGCTGAGAGCAGCTTTGGAGGGACAGTCTGCCTGGAAAGATCTCAGCATTAGTTAGGTTTGACTGTTTACTGATGGACACTTGGGATGGCACAGGGGGAAAATCTCTTCCTGTGGGTTGTTCTTCTTCTGAAGACAGAGACTAATGGTTCAAATGTGTCGTCTCTTTTAGGAGATACTGAGAATGTGGACAAACTGATAAAGAAATGTCTCCTGGACACTTTCCGACAGACAGATGAAGACTTTCTGAAGAAAGCCTCCAGCCAGTAAGACTGAGTTCACAGAAAAGCCTGCAGCTGAGAAACACTCACTGTACTGTGAGAATTACAGCCTCACACAAGCTCTAATACAGCATAAGTACAGACTTAAAGTCCTCTGTCCTTTTCTTTTGGAGATGTACTAGTTTTCTGTCATTATCTTTGACTATTATAATGTATAAACCTCCAAAAATCCACTTGGAAATCAGAGAAGAAGAGGCTGCAGAATCTGCCTGACAGTCCTCATGTTTTTAAGTTTTCTTCAGTGTCATGTTAATCCAGTGACAGTTGTGTGTGTCTGTCCATGGGGACACTGCATACAGGAGCTGATCATTGCTCATTCTGCTGCTTTTAATGAGGACATTGACTAAATGTGAGCTAATACAGGCTGAAAACAGGTTAAGTAGCTCACAGACTTTGAATAGCCATGATCTAGATTGTTGTAATTTGGGTGAATTGACTTTTCACCTCTGTCTCATATGATTAGTTTTTTCTCTGTGTTGTGAACAGGAAGCCTGCATGGAAGGACGGCTCCACAGCCACCTGCGCGCTGGTGGTGGACGACATGGTATACGTGGCCAATCTGGGAGACAGCAGGGTAAACTGAAACTTTTATCATAATATAAAACCAGACTTGCACAAACACAGCCTGTGTCTGTAGCTGAGATTGTCAGCACACGGTTTAGAGTTGAACAGGCATCGGTTTGTAAACGTGCATCTTCATTACGTCTCTGTGTTTGTGTCTCCAGGCGGTGTTGTGTCGGATGGAGGCAGCAGCAGATGGGCAGAGGAGGCCGGTGACTCTGGCTCTCAGTAAAGAACACAACCCGACCATCTATGAGGAGAGGATGAGGATCCAGCGAGCAGGCGGCACTGTCAGGTACACAAGCTATGCTCACACCGACACTCCAGTATAAGGTTGCAGTGATGTCCTGGTTTCATGGTATGAAATCTGATGGTTGTTATACCATGCACATCAGCTTATTACTGGTAGTGAAGAAAAAAAAACACTATGTGTATGCACTTTTCTTCTCTGACAGGCAGTCAGACTCCTCAACAGGTGCCCCCCACACACATGCAGCAGACAAATGGCAGAGGAGAGGAGGCTAAAATCACCAAACTCCATCCACCAAAAAGAAATTAAAATCAGTAGCACAGGGTTACGTTGGATATCCCAAAAAAAGATCATAATTTTCCACATTGTCTGTTTGTTCACTGATCTTTGACTTACAGCAGAACTCGCACTGACCCTGATCTGATGCCAGAAACACACACGCAAACATTCCCAGCTCACAAAAGTGACCAGGACCAGTCTGGCTGTGCTGTCACCTACAGTAAATTGGTTACTATTAAGATATTCATTTAGAGCAGTGTGACTCAATGTTTCACTATGGTCACAACTTCTACAAGCCAGTCAATCAATTATTGAAGAAAATAATCAGCAAATTGATCCCTAATCAAAATAATCAGTAGTTGCACTTGGATACAAAATAGCTCAGCAGAGCTCCACCTCTACCAACTAAAAGAATGAAATCCTGCTTTCGCATCAATGCTGTTAATATAATGTGTTGCAGGGATGGCCGGGTGCTAGGTGTCCTCGAGGTGTCTCGGTCCATCGGAGATGGTCAGTACAAACGCTGTGGAGTCATTTCATCCCCTGACCTGAGGAGGTGTCAGCTCACAGCCAATGACAGGCAAGAACAGCCCGCAGACAGTGAAGAAGAAAAAGGTGTAACTTGGAAACTGAACAGTCAGCGGTCGAATGATGTGCTGACTGTTTCCCCTCTGTCTCTACAGGTTTATCATCTTGGCCTGTGATGGCCTGTTCAAAGTGTTCTCTGCTGACGAAGCTGTGAAATTTGTCCTCGGCATCCTGCAGGTGTCCGAACCTCTTGCTTCAGCTTTGGTTAACGTACAGTAGTAGTGTGCACACAGTCTATTTCAGGGACACCTCCCTGTCTGACCATCTGACTGCCCATGTTTCCTGACCATTCAGACTTCTGCTTACACATGTTACTTCTTTTATCTTACTTTAATTTGATCATAGTCTTGTGACAAATGTATATTAGATTTTGCCAAATGTTATATTTTGTTAGTTTCAGTCAAAACCAAAGACATTTAGCTTCATTGGTGTTGAGTCGTGTTTTCTAATCTGTCGGAAGCTAAGCCTGTTGATGTTTGCTGCACATGTAAGAGTCATAAGTGTGAACACACGATGCATATTTTTAGTTTGTCTTTCATGAGGCATCGTTTCTGCTCTTCATAAATAATAAACTCACATACAAACCAGAGAAGAGGCTGCAGAGCCGCCTGAGAACCCTCCTGTTGTTGTCTTCAGTATCACAGTAACACAGTGACGGTTGTCTGTACGTCCATGGGGACACTGCACACAGGAGCTGCTCATTCTCACACTGTGAATGGGGACTAATGTAAACAGATAGATCCCTGAAAGCATCATGGGAACCACAGTTCCAAAACTGAGCGTGACTTTTCACCAGAAGATCTGTTAACATTTATTTTAGGTCGACTAAAATTGAGTAAAATGTTGGTACTGATCGAATTGATGGATAAAACTACCAGACCACAGTTCATCTCTAACATGACTATGTATTTTGTCCTAACTGTCCTCCCCCTGCAGGAAGAGAGCATGGAGCAGAGGCCAGGGTTTACAGACGAGGGCAGGTTTGAAGCTGCTTGCCAACAGTTGGCCAGTGAGGCGGTGAGGCGAGGCTGTGCCGACAACGTCACTGTGATCCTGGTTTCCATTGGCTTCTGAATGTTCTTCATCATCACAACACACAGGAATAGTCTGATTCCATCTTATTTGACAATAAAAACATTCTTTACTTTTGCTGCTGAAACGATTTACTGGTGTGTTTGTGCTGTACATACGTTCAAAGGATGTAGCTGCCGATTTTGTGTTATTCTGCATAAACCCCATGCAGGGACTAACAGCACCAGTGAATGTGGTGTCCTCACTGTAATGTGTGTGAGTCCACACCGCTGCACTGGGTGGCAGGTTTCTTCCTCAGCAAACTTGGGAGGCTCCAAAGGCTAAGAATGGCCATCACTTTGTACATTGTCTGAAAGTAGACAGTCACAGATCTCTGTTTTGTTTATACTATTCCACTAGGTTCTCATGCTTCACAGATGTGTTGGAGCTGTTTGTTGAAAAAAGTGTTTGGTGTTTCTGCATAAAAATAGATGACAATTTTCTGTTGGCTTATGTTACTATTTAGTTTGTGAAGTAACTGCAACTGTCTGATAAATGTAGTGCATGAAAACGTTAAATATTTCTCTGAGATGTAGCTTAGTGATGTGGAAAGTTGCATGAAAATGGAAAACTCAGCTAAAGTACAAGTACAGTACTTGAAATGTACACATAATGTATCTTGCAGTACCACCCCGGGCTGTGGGGAGTCGCTGTTTCCCCGCTGTCTGGCTCATATCCAACAGACCCGGATCTTTGCAGGAACTTAGCGGTCAGTTAGCAACAACAGCGGCGGCATCGGCAGTAGCTTCGTGATGAACAGACAACTGTTAATGAGAAAACTACTAACTACGTTCTAATTACGCTTTTGTCCAAACTTCAATCATGCGTGGTAGGCAGGAGCGCATGCATGACGCCTGATCAAACGGGTGTATGGGGAATTATTGATTAGTTTCGTGGAAGAAAGTTGTTGTTTTCCTGAGCGGGGAGAGAGTTTATTATGAGGAGAGGAATGAATCATCAGTGAGAGTGGATCCACCGCTACTGCTGCTGCTGAGCTAGCAGGCTAACAGGCTCGCTGTCAGGATGAGGAGGCTTTAATAAACTTTATCAGCACTTGGGCTCAGTGACAGTAACAGGTAACATGGACTCGCTGCTGGACTTTGAGGAGTGTGTCAAAGATTCACCCGAGTTCAGGTAACGTTAAACACACACACACCTGGCATCTCCAGACCGCGCATGTGCAGAAGTACTGATGATGTTCAATGCATTTTGTTCAGACTGAAGCTGGATCAGTTTGAGACGGAGGTTTCTCTGCTGGAGATACAAGTGGACAAGGTACAAATACTGCTAAAAAAAAAACCCACTGCTTCTACTGCTAGTATTCTAACACTGTAAATGTTAACGTTACCCCTACTTTACTGCTTCTACTGCTAGTATTCTAACTGTAAATGTTAACGTTACCCCTACTTATCAACACTGCCACTATTAAACTGTTACTACTGTACCACAACTGTAGGTACTATTACCACCTCTACTACTGTTTCCCCTGCTGCTATTACTACTACAGCTACTGTTGTTTTTATTATTGTTTTTACTATTAGATCTATTACTATTTGTACTGACTGTTATGACTATTACTACTACAGCTAATACTGTTAGTACTACCGCTGCTTTAAATACGTCAGCTACTGCTCTTATTGCAGTTACGTCTACTACACTAGCTGTTACCACTACTGCTATTGCTGTTACTGTTTAGTATTGCTACTACACATGCTGTTAACACAGTTACTGTTACTAACACCGCTACTATTACTACTACTGCTTTTACCATTGCAGCAGTTTCTGTTACTGCTGTTTCCACTACTGTTGTTACTATCTTTACTACTTGTACTACTACAAATGTTAAGGTTACTACTGTTTCAACTACTGTCACCTTTACATACTGTTGATGTTGCTACTATCGCTACTGCACTCTTCTGCTGTTATCATGTGTATTTTTAATATTTTTATTACTGTTAATATTGTTGCTGCTACTTTTACTGTTAGTACTGTAATATTATTATTGCTGCTGCTACTACTTGAGGCTACCCAGTAGAGATTTGCTGTCAAATTGAAATTAAATGTGTTAACTCGGTGTTCACCTGCACAGAGAGCTCATTGGTCCGTTATGTGCTTTTTCTGACCAATCAGGTGATGAAGTTGTGTGGTAAGATGGTGAAGGCGGGACAAACGTACAGCGCAGCCAATCAGCTGTTCCTGAGCGGCCTGGCTGAGCTCTCCACGTGCCACAGGAAGGACGGCGTCATCGCTGTATGAAGCTCCATAATGCTAATGCTAATAACAGTAATAATGATGTAGCTAACACCTGCTACCATCATGTACTGCCACTACTGTTCACTGCTGCTGGTCCACTGCAGTACAGTGCAGCACCGCCCTCATAATAACACGATTTTATTCTAGAGATCATTTCTCTTAATAAAGACATATTTTCTTGTAATAATAACATTTTAAGTCATAGTTATGAGATACACAAGGCCTCCAGTTGTTTCACTGGTTCTTTATTTTGCACAAGAATCAGAAAATCATCTCCATATTTAAACACACCGTCTTTGCGGCACTTACCTAAACATGTGTGCTACTTTGTTACATTGCTCTGCTCAGTAGTGGCTGAACTTACGTTTAGTATCGGCTGCCTCCTGATCAGAGGCCAGATTCAGGTTCCAGGATGTGTACCTAAACCTTGTGGAGAACAGAGGAAACTAAATTTGAACCTGTGACCTTGTACACCTTATGTTACAGGTTTATGGTGACACTGAATTGTAGGTGTGTGTTGCTGTCATGTTTTTATGTGAAAGGTTTCTCACACTTCCAGTTTGCTTCCTTTCAGAACTGTCTGAACCAGTTCCACCAGGGCCTGCAGGAGATGGTCAGCTTTCACACTGTGAGTATACACATCCTCTTTTCTGTGTGTTGTACGGTCTACAAGTGGTCGACCTATATGGGTTTTTCAATGGCTGATGCAGATGCTAAGCTTGAGACAGTGGGGAGGCCGGTGACCGATATAATGCCATTATAATGCCATTATCATGTTGCTGATTTTTTCTTTTTACATCATATAAAATACAGTAATTTAATAATAACAGATGAGGCACAGATTTACTGAACTTAACATTTAATCAACACAAATCAATTATTAAAATATTTAATATTTGAATTAATTCAATATTTGAAAATTAAAGACTCCCATTATTACTTTCAAATAAAAAAGTCCACAGGTAATCACTAAGAGAACAAGAAATAAAAACAGTGACATAGTGTTGCACGATATACCGGTACTAGTATGGTACCGCAGTACTGAGGCATTTAAAATGGTACTATACTGCATTTGGATGGGACCGGTACTTGCAGCGCC